ATTTATAAATCTAAATTTTAATAATAGTTAAGTCTAGTTGGTAGGATTATGGTTAATTTTTACATTAATCTTTATGTTTAAAATATTAGAACAAAACAAAGAAATGAAACTATAGAAGACTGAGAAGGAACATGGGGGAGAAAGAGAGAGAGAGGGAGAGGGAAAGAGAATTTCTTGTCTAATGATCTCTTTTCACAAGTCTCTTATTAGATATCCACTTTAAATCACATGATTATTTGTATAATTATGATGAAACTCCTTTGCCTCAATTCTCTTGAAACAATCTTCATATTATTTCACATGGAAGATCTCATCTTCCATGATCATCTTTAAGTCTATTTCATAAGCTTTCTAAAAGGTTCCAAACTTCACTAATTATTCCCTCTTGTGAGTCAACCCCTTTGAATATCCTTAGCCACGAATTCTCAATGTCATGTCCATCCCTCATCCTGCCACTTGTTTGCTAAATAACTTGAGCAAATTATTCAATCCTTCATTCTTCAATTGCTTCATCTGTAAAATGGGGGTAAAGTACTTATCTTAAGTTTTGTCAGGATTAAACATAACATATACAGGGTTTGTGGGCTTATAGTTGCTACATGCTTTTGTAGCTATTTCCAGATGAAAAAAATTCTCTTCCTGTCTGGAAAATCATCTTGGAATATCAGTGAAAATGTATCTGACTAGGAGACAACTACTCTAATTAAAAGATGCAACCACATAACTCACTATTGATAACAACATCATGATCTAGACATCAGGGATCATCAGAAACCAAGATGACCCATGGATATGTCTGGGAGCAAACATAGTTTTTCCTTACTTTCTGACTTCCTCTAAAATATATGGCATCCTCCTTTCTACACAGTGGCTTGTAGAAAGCAATTTGAAGTAGGCAATCACTTGTCAATGGCGCTACTTCATTTGCCTTCATTTTCCAAAATGATAATTGCACTTATAAAGGCAAAAATGCTCCACTCCCACTGTAGGGGGCCACTATTACTGGCTGGCATTGAGCTTTCTGACAGGGTACATCATTGTCCCAGAAATATCAACAGGTGGAATTTCTGGGAAGAAGGCCAAGGTCTTGAAAAGTCTGATGGACATGGAGAAAATCTACTGGAGCAGTCTCTTAATACGTTGGCACTGACATGGTCTTAGGTGCTGGTGGTATCTACAGTGTCTCAAGGCTTAAGTAACATGTGACATCAGGAATACTTTGTATTGGATAACCTCTAAGGTGAGGCAATTTAGGAAAGGAATATAATCCTGTAGTGTTTATTTGTGTGTGTTTTAAGGTACTGGTGATTGAACCCAGAAAGCCCTAAGCTACACCCCTATCCTTTATTCCTTTATTTTGAGATAGGTTCTTGCTAAATCTTCCAGACTGGCTTCAAACTACCATCCTCCTGCCTCAGTCTCCCAGGTAGTTGGAATTACAAGTATGTACCACTGCACCCAGTTTAAATCTGTACTATTTGCAATAAGACTATTTCTTCTTGATATTAAAATCACCTTCACGTTTCTAGGCAAATATTGTTCTCTTAAGCTACCTTCCCAGCCCTCCTTCACTTTCTTTGATTTAAATCAATTACAGGTAATTACAGGTTTTTTCTTGTTCTGCTTTTGTTTTACTTTTAGGTTATCAATATATTCATTAAAGGATTAGAGGTTTAGAAAAGCTCAATGTTGTTTTATTATCAGTACTTCTGTTATTTCAAATATAAATGCTTCATTTAAAATGTCTATGTATTAAGAAAAGATTCCTATAGATGGAGATTCTTCTTCACTTAGTTTTTTTGTTTGTTTGGTTTTTGGTTTTTGGTTTTCTGAGACAGGGTCTCACTAGATAGTTCAGGCTGGCCTCAAACTCACTATGTAGCCCATGCTGGGCTCAAACTCATGGCAAACCTCCTGCCTCAGTCCTGAGTGCTGACATTACAGGCATGTGCCACCAGGTCCGGCTAACTTCATTTAGTTAAGAATGACAAGGCTCAGAGAATTCCTACATAATTCCAAATCACACAGCACTCACAGCTATACATGGTAGAGTCAGGAGAAGGCTTGTGAAAGCCTGTCAGGATATGGACTTCTCTTTCCCATCTCTGTTCAGCAAGGGACTATTTGGAATTATTTATTATACTGGTAAAAGTTCCAAGTGATCATTTTATATGGAATTATGGCATTTAAAGTACCAGTAGAGTTTGTAGCCAACCACTTCTATTTTTCCTTTCAGAACCCTATATCTCTTAAACTTTGCCACATGAACCCTAAACTCTGCTGTTTTTATCTTAAGGCCCATGTTTTTACTTTCCCCCTCATAGATGGAATTTTTAAGGGTTCCCATCTCCATTTGACTGTCACTAGGGATGAATTTCTGTGAGGTCTGCTTGAGAGCACCTAAAAGTGAGCTCTTCAGCTGGTGCTTCAAACAGAAAAATGGATCATGGGAGGACAAGAATCAATTTCAGTAACTGCAGGCCACATTTCACTGATGGTGATTTCGAGAGAATTCCATCCAATAACACCTCCTTTTATCATTATGAACATCTTTAAACATTTCCATTTAGAATTCACAAGAGAAAAGTGGGTGTGTTTCCTATAGAGCAACCTGAAGAATCTTTGCAGTGATGGATCTCTTTTCTATCTTAACTGTGGTAGTGGATACACAAGCTTAGGTATGTGACAAAACTGCACACATACATGCTCACACACACATACACACATTCACATGAGTGAATGAACAGTAACAGAACTAGAGAAATATGAATAGAGTTGGTAAACTGTATCTGGGTCAATATCCTGGTTGTGATACCATAATACAATTTTTCAACATACTGCCAATGGGAAACTGGATAGAGGGAGAATGATATTTCTCTGTAATATTTCTTATAACTGAATATGAACTGATACTTCTCTCAGAATAAAAAAGTTTTTTAAAAATCAGGAAGAGTAACATCCATGATTCTGATTTAATGATAACATTTACCCAGAGAATAATCTCCTGAGATGTAAATAAATGTACACATTTTCTTGAGGTCAAACCAGAGAAAATTCTTCCAAAATATAAGCTATCATATTGATATCTGTGTTACATACTGATGCTTTAGTTATATTGTGTAACTAATGAGATCTCTTGATATTAACTTAATTGTGGATTAAAATAATTTTTTATCAAATATAAGAAGACAAAGAAGTTATCTTAATACCTCCTGACATATTTAATACATACAAAGATTTCCCTGAAATACATATCTGACAGTACTCTGAAAAGTATCAATTATACAAAGAAAAGTGTAAAATATACAAATATTCTGCATATAAAATTATATAAATATAAATATAAATATAAAATTATTCTACAATTTAAATACCTTTTTTCTATAAATAGAATTCTAGAAGCTTTAAGAAATTTTCAAAACAAAAAGCAGTGCTACATTTAAGGAAGAAATAAACATATAAACCATATTTGCATATTTAAACAATGAAAGAGATATATGTAAATAGTTGGTTTAAATTTTACCTTGATAGAAGGAATAGGCTTTTTGGGAATGAAACAGTTTCTCTCAATTGGGGAAAAAGTTGCATTTTGCTCTTTGAGCCTGATCTTGTTCTCTGCTATGATTTTCTTGCGCTGTTCAAGAAAAGGTCCAAAGCTTGGCAGTTTCTAAAGGGAACACACAAGAAATCATGTTAGTTCTTAAGCACATAACTATTAGCAACCAACCAACAAGCAAATGTGTACTTGGGAATTGTTTCATTGATACTGGATCTTCATTCATTTCTGGACCCCTAGTCTTTTAGGTATCAGATTCCATGTTATTAAAAAGAACACAAGGGTATAATACCTTTACCAAATATGTATATATTGGATATAAATGTTAATTAAAATGCATTTCTAAATAGGATAAATTTCACAATGGTGAATGAAATCCATTCACTTAAAACAATAGCTATTAGCTAAACCATTTGTTTGGGGTGTATTGACAGAAGGTGAAACCTATTGATGCGTTTTCCCCCCTTCATCAGGTTTTTAGCACAATATAGACACAGCCGTAGGCCCTGACAAATGCTTTTGTCAATAGCAAAGGTACTTTGCCAAAGTTCCAATCTGTATCTTTATTTTATTGTGTTCAAATTCTTACTACATCTCTTTAAAGATTGTAATTAATGTGAATTACAATTTACTGGAATAGCTAAAAAACAAAATGGTAAAAATATTGATTCTCCTGAACAGAAAATAATTTTTTTTTGCATGAAGGAGGCAAAAATAGAAATGAAAGCAGAGGCTATGTCAAGTGCTTATGTAAACTCTATCAGTATTTAAAATCACATCACATCTTTAAATCTCAAGGTTATTCAATTGTACTTTACAAAGTTCATTTAGAAAGATACCTGGGTGTCACAGAAAAATGCTAAGTGGTTTCAAGTTAACACGAAAAATGCTCTCACACCATTCATTATTCCACAATTATTTCCTCTTCACTTTGTCCTTCCCCTCTTCTAGAACCTTTGATCTTCACTTTTACTGACACATACTGTCAGTGATAGACACCACTGAATTCCAAATGTTTTGTGTCAGCCTGTAACCTGGAATTGTTAGGTCTCTTTTATAAGCTGGCAAAAACACCTCTTGCTCCTGCAGAGTAAAGCCATTTATCTAGTTGATGGAGGCTTGGAAAACTACAACACTCCAAGGTCATCCTTGGTCAGAGATAACCTAACAGGTGCTTTCACGAAAAATCACATTTGTTTCAAAACTCTGGCCTCCACTTTCCAGGTTGCATAATGCCAGGCAAATGAAGTCTCTGGTTCTCTAGAGCTCTCCTCAGAGTAGGGAAATCAAACTTTAAACATGTTCCAATCAAAGTAGACCATAAACTACAACTGAAAATTTATGTTAGCAAAAAATACATTCATGTGAAAATTTCTAAGTTTGATACTTCCACCATCAATTCACCAGAACCATGTCAAAAAGTAAAAATAAATAGAACAACATTATGAATGCCAAATTAATTTATGCATAAGGATGATCAAAATACATGGAGTTTAAATTTTTAAAAAAATTACATTAAAGGATACTTTGCCATTAATTTCCCTCAAAATATTTCCACTTGCTCAGGACATATTTATCAAATTGTTTTTGTCACTTTCAAAAGCAATTCTAGATGTTCTCTTTCATGAGCACCTTTACAAAGTATGATCAAGATACAGTGAATGCTGCTGTTGAGTTCCACAGGTTCGTAAAAAAATCACAACATGTCCTCATCCACCTCACTCACTGAATCTAGCACTAAGTGATTTGCAGCTCTTCCTTAAAGTTGAAATGATCCTGAAAGGTAAGCATCTTGAATCACTTTTGGACATCAAGGTAGCCATGACAGTGCAACTGAAGACACTAAAAAGGACTTCTAGGACTGCTTCAGAAAGTAACCTGAATAATGAGATAAATGTGTTTGAAGTGAAGGGGACTATTTTGAGGGAAATTAGTGGTAATGTGTCTTTTAATGTAATCAATTTTTAATTAAAATAGAAACTCTGAACCAGTTGGAACAGAGGTTAGGTAGAACCCTTGAAGACGTTGGTGTAGGAAAAGATTTTATGAACAAAACCTCAGT